TCTGGGCGGGCCTCCATCGATAAGCTCCGCCAGATAACGTGAAGATGGAGCCGGCATGTTGCCAATAAGGTGGGTCATATAGGTAACATAGGGGTGATGTAGGGATAATGGAAAAGAAAATGGAAACTACTATAGTATATTGGGACTATATAGGGATAATGGAAACGAACATGGAAACTAATTACCATTTAGAATTTAGGGTTTGGGGTGGTTCCAATTTCCGTAAAACGGCCCCTAGCACACAGGGTACCCCCCAAACCCTAAACCCTGCAGGGGGACTACACTCCTGGAAACTAACATGGAAACCCAAAAGGAACCCTATAAAGACTACAGTCCCTCTAAAATGGGGCTATGTGGGTTTCCATGTGAGCAGTATTTCATTTGGGGATACTATGGCACCCAATATAGAGTAAGATTACATCCTCCTTTTGGGTATAGTATTTTATATAAGGAATATTATCTTACTAGGCTCAACCACCAAAAAACACATTACTCATGTTAGTTTGGGGGAGTGTATAGTTTGAACAGCTTTCCAGATGCCCGGTGCAGGTTTCTCCCACGGAGGCGGAGGGACGAGGTGCTGGGTGTTGGGGTTATCTCAACCCCAAAAGTATATGAGTTAGGAGGACCTCCCACCCTGTAATAGTGGTATAATAAGAATATAAGAGGGCCCGAATGTAATCCCTATTATCCCTTATAGTCACTATTACTGGGTGGGGGGTCCACCTAATATATGAGTAGTATTTAATTTGGGGATACTATGTTAGCCAATATAGAGTAGGATTATACTCTCCTTTTGGGGTATAGTGTTTTATTTACGGAGTATTATCTTGTCTGGGTTTAACTACCAAAACAACATTACTCATATGAGCTGTAGTTGAAACTCCTTAAAGGGAGTCATATAGGGGCTTATATAGGGGACTACTATTGGGGGATCTTGGGGATACTAGGAGTTTAGACTGCAGCTCATCTCAACCCGCAAAGTATGTGGAACTGCAACCTTAGTCTCTTTTTGTGGGGTTTGTTAATATTGGGATAATGGAAAAGAAAATGGAAGCTACAGGGATTATGGGGATTCTACAGGAATTCTATAGGGTAATATTGGGATAATGGAAAAGAAAATGGAAACTACAGGGATTATGGGGACTCTACAGGAATTCCATAGGGTAATATTGGGATATTGGAAAAATGGAAGCTATTACAGAGTATATTGGGGTTATAGTAGGGATGATGGAAAAGAAAATGGAAGCTATTACATAGTATATTGGAACTATAGTAGGGATAGAATGGAAAAGAAAGTTGAAACTACTATCATGTTTAGATCTTTTTGGCGGTCTGGGATGATCATGTTCTTTTCGAGTTTCTACAGGCCAGCAGTCAATATGATCCTTTCTGCTGATGTGTCGTGGTCACGGTTTAAGCCTTTGGGTGCCTGTTTTGCAGTGTCCAGATATGTTACATGGTAGTTTCCCGAATTAGTGGGACCCCAGTATAGACCCCAAAATAGGATAATCCTTATTATCTGGAACCTTAGAAAGGTTTCCCTAGTTTGGGGAAACTCCCCGGCTTCTCCATATGCACACAGGCCAAGCCAAAACGAAGTATACTATAATCTACTAATTTACTGTAATCTACTAATAACAATAATACAATAGTAGAAAATAATACGAATAACAGTAACAATAAAAATAGTGGCCAGTAAACTGAGCCGGCTATCCAACCCCCCGGCCAATCCAAGCTGAGGATAAGCATTCAGAACCCTGAGAGATGATGTGAAGGGTTTCGGCTTTAGAGTTTTTGGAGTTTAGGATTTTTAGGGTTTAGGGTTTAGAATTCCAGGGTTTAAAGGGTTTTGTGTGTTTTAGAGTTTAGGGTTTTTTAGGGTGTAGAGTTTTCAGGATATGTAAATCGCTTGTCCCCATGAACGCAACAAAGTTATCGGACCTGCTAGCAGAATTATATGCAACACACCACAAGAAAACGTAGATCAACAGCCACAACAACTGCTATGTTAGGTTCGCATCAAGTGTTGCTTCCTGGTCTACTCCAAAATTAGATCTAAATCCAAAGAGGCTAAACAGCTGAGCCATGTTTCAGCATAAGCCTCTAAGTAGAGCCGGACCTGTGACGCTTTTGATCCTTACTATAGAAAGCATTATCTGTATTCGTTCTACTACCACTACTACTATATCACTGTTTCATTGCTACTGTATGACCATAATTCCTTTCATTAGTGTCTTTTTTGGTTTAATCTAACATAGCCAAAGGTGAGCGGTATGCGTGAACACTAGTTGGTCTTGGCTTACTTCGTAATTCTTCCCACCCCACTCACAACTACAGCACGAGCCTGCTGGAGACGTACCTCAGGAATTTTGGCTTCGAATGGAAGACACGTCAGTATAGCACTCAAAGTACCGAAGGCTTCTTTCAACCGATGAGTGCTCTCTCTGATCCTGTCTGCGGGAGCAGGGCCTTTCCAGCATCAGGTGTCTTTAGTGTATTTCTTCACCTGAAGAGTATGCAATGTGTCATTGGGGCCCTAACACTCAGACACCTTGTAGAGGGTGGGACTTCTTGAACGCGTTCTGGAATCAAGAAGAGCAACTTCTAGGTACTTCTTTAATCCCCACACCCTCCTCTGACATCGGCGGATACCCCGTTGTGAGACACCCTCAGGTGACTCTGAGGAGGAGTATGACTCTCAAGACGAGGATGAAGAATCGCCGAGGCACCATCAAGTTTCCATGTCAGATTCCATGGATCCCTTTTGGGTTTGTAAGGTTAAGGGTTCAAGGGAGATTTGAGGTGCAAATCAGCGCTTGAACATCGAGGTTGCGAGAAGTAGTCAACCTTTCATATGCCTCATCAAGCCATAAGTATGCCCTAAACCCTATACCCTAAACATTATACCCTAAACTCTATGCCCTAAACCCTATACCCTAGAACTTGTCACAGGGCCAACCTGCCCGCCGTGTTTCTTCTGCAGGCGCCGAAGAATGAATTACGACGTGGGCGAGCATCTTTGGAAGCATTTTTACATTCACTCTTCGGATGCCATGGAATATTGGGTGATATACGGATATATCGAAAAGAAAATGGAAGCTACTATATAGTATATTCCTGAAATACACTATATAGTACTTTCCGTTTGGGTTTCCATTACCTCTCTTTAGCCGTTAGCCTCATATTACCCTATATCATCCCAATATTGCCTGCGAAGACCGTGAATCTTTTACTGTAGGTCTTGTGAAGGCAAATCCGTGAATGGTCGCATGGGGCAGGTCAAAGCAAGGTTCCTGTGGGACGTCCCAACAGGTTCGGCCCAAAAGGGCCGTAATTGGGTACAAACAGGGTATATAGTATGTACAGAAGGATCCCAGGGTTAAGGGCCCATACTAGGGACTAGGGACGCATGGTTTCAACCTTAGAGCTTGATGCGTGGAGTCTGTGGATTCTCCTTAGCTGAATATAGGGGATTATATTGGGGAGTACGGCATGATAGGGCTTATTAAGGGGGATACTAGGACTTTAGCTCAAATGATCCCTGTACATACCCTATTCTAGTATAGTAGTTTCAATTTTCTCTTCCATTATTAGCCATATAATATACTATCATCTACTATAATCTACTATATTCCTAGTATGGTTCTGTGGAATCTGTGGAATCTCAGGTACATTCTGCTCAGGCCGGCTTTCGTGGCCCGTGATGCAAAGAACTTCGATCCAGCAGCTCAGTTGCCAAAGTCGCATTCCCAGACCCTTTGGGAGGATCCAGAAAGTAGAACCCCAATATGGCAAACCCTAAACCCTAAACCCTATACTGCTCTTGGGTAATTTCTAGGAACCCTTAAGGGGGATCTACTTTCTAGATCCCCCCAGGAGTCTGGGTTTGACCGGGCTGCTGTTAAGGAACTATGGTTTAGGGCTTGGGGTACCATGGTACGGGTATGTTGTAGATAATAGGGTTTCCTTATTTATAGCCATTTAATTTAAGTTCAGCAACCCAGTTGAGTGCTACAGACCTGCTATTCTCCTTAGTCTTGGTGTCTGTACTTCCCGCTCCTCAGCATGTGCACGCAAGTGGAGCGCAGATCAACCTCCGAGTAAGGATCCAAGGAACTCCAGCAAAGAACCCCGGTAATTCTAGGTCCCAAAGCTGCATGAGGAGTTGCTTTCTCTCTGGGCTCTTGTTATACTATCTAAACCTAAACGCCATCCTTTTGTCGTACAGGTCCCTTGTTATTCATTAGTTTCCTCCAATTGGCAGCGGCAAGCTTGCATGTGACAGTGGGGACACCGAGGATGACGATGAGGTTGTGGAGGAGCTCGAGGAAGGCCTGGTTGCTAATCCCATCCCTCTAGTACTAAAAAAGGCCAACCGCCCTGGGCTTGAATCTTCCCAAAATGTATGATATACGATACGGAATGAGCAGGGGTTTCGGAACAAAGCTAGGGTGTGCGGGCTTGTATGTAGGGTTTTTAAGGTTAAGGATTTAGGGTTTACGGTTCAGTCAGACATCCGCTAGCCGGGGGCTTAGCAGGGCGCAAACGCTTTCGACCAGTACCTCTCACCATCATCCTTGATCTTGCTTCCTGCTTAGTATGGAGTAGAGTATGGGCAAAGGGACAATGTAGGGACTACTTGGAAATTCAGGGTACTTAAAACCCAAATATACCTGGTACTGTAGCCTAATTCTATTAGAATGACCCTACTAAGGGCTGTGAAGGGCTGCCAATTGGGTTATATGTGTCAGTTACCATTTGGCTCTAACTGCCCTGAACTTTCACATACTAGGGGGATCCATTCCTCCGTTCCCAATATACTTGTCAGTTCTCATTTTCTTTCCCATTATCTCTAGATAACCCCAATATACTACAGTAGCTTCCATTTTCTTTTCCATTATCCCTACCCTAAACCCTAAACCTTAAACCCCAGATCGTAGTTTCCATGTTTTTTCCATTATCCCTACTAACCAACAGGGAGCCTGGGAGGCCAAGAGGTCCGAGCAGTGGAGATCGTGGAGCTGAAGGAAGAGAAGCGAGTGCGTGGAGCTTAGAACTTCAGTATGTAGGAGGATTATAGATAGTAGTTTCCGTTTTCCTTTCCATTATCCCAATATAACCCCTATATCATCCCTGTATAACCCCTTAAAAACCCTTGTATCCAAATCAATATATATGTAAATATCATAGTAGTTTCCATTTTCTTTTCCATTTTCCTTACTACATACGCTGGCTAGAGCTTAAGGTTTAGAGGCTCAGGTTTTAGGGTCAGAACTGCAGATTCGGGCCTCATGTCTAACCTGACCCTAAGGGTCCATGTACCCAATAATTGAGTATTTAGGGCTTTGGTAATAGTAACTATAGTACAGGTTTTGGGTAGTATATGATTTTTTTGGTACTTGGACCCGCAGGGTCACGGCAAACATTTACCTTGGGTATTGGGTACTGCCCCCTCAGTAACAGTTGGACAATAAGTATAATCTGGTTATATATAGCCCTTAATCGGACCCCTAATATAGCCCTGAACCCTAAACCCTAAAACCCTAAAGCCTAAAACCCCTAAAACCCTAGAACCCTTAAACCCTAAACCCCAAAACCCCCAAACCCTTAAGTCCTTAATAGGACCTCTAACATAGACTGCTACTGGGTGGGGGCAGTACCCAACCCAAACCCTAAACCCTAAACCTTAAACTTAAGAGCCTCCGGCTCAGTCCGCCGACCCAGTGGCGGAGAAAGCACGAAAGCCTAAACGCGAAAC